AGAGTAGGTGACCTGATGTATCTTTCCAATTTTTAATCACTGTCTCCATGCTATGTTAACAGTATTTAATAATTATATAACATGACTATTATATTATTGTAAATTAATATAGCAGTGCTTTATTAAGAAACTAATTGCTTTAAACTATTTTTTTATTTTCTATTAAATGTTGCTTAGCCTAAGCATAAAAGAACATTTTCTTACCACCCGTAGCCATATTTGATTACATCTATATTTATTTTTATTTGATTATACAAGATGGAAAGGCTTCTTGACACGTGAGGTTAGGAGGACAAGAAACAAGGGCTTGTGGTTCAGTCGAGATTGTATGCAGATTTTAGTATGCTATCACTCAATAGAACAAACTCTATAAAATGAACCCAGCTTTATTGAATCACCAATTATCCTAGACATCAAAAAGAGTTATTCTAATATAAACAAACAAACAACAATAGAATAACCATACACATAGATTAGAAGTCTGCATTATGCAAACTATCATAGCTTTTGAAACACTATAGTCTCAAAATTCTAAACTTAATTGACTAAATGCAGTTAAGGTAAGGGGGGGGAGAGGAATCAACAACAAAGAACTAAAACAAAAAATGTTGATTTAAAGGGAAAGGAAAGAAAAGGAAGAAAGGAAGATAGTCATTACCAGAGCCTTTGTTTAATACACCCTTCTGTTAGTTGGCATGTACGTAAGATTGCCTAATGTTAGTCTTTGAATGTTCATGTGAATATTTCCATAATAAATAGTACAGTAATGGTATGTTTAAATAGTAAATCTGACCAATCAAGATTATATTCAAAATAAGGACGTAATGCCTTCCTTTGAAAACCATTTTTTGCAACACACAACTTGAAGCTAAATAAATAGCATTTTTCTTATAAAATGGATACAAAACCCTATTATAATGTTGTATAGTATATGTAGCATCTTCATTCAAAACTCTGCATGGTATTTCTGTCCTTTCTAAAAAGAGGACATACAGATGAATACAAGAGCTCTATAATTTCTGCAGTGATTACATTTTAATAAAATTATTGGTTTTGAATATTCTTTTTCTCATTCTCTGTCTCCCCTAACTAAAATGCATAGTGTTAAATAATTAAGATTTTCTACTTTAAAATCACCAAAAATTAGTATTAATTAATCACTATGATGTTGTGCATTAAAATCCATGGAATTAATGGATAGTATCCTGTTAACATTACTGAGTTTCAAATTACATGCTGGGATACTTGGAAAAGGTTGAAGTTTCTCAGAGGCACAGATTTCCATCATTTTGTGCTCTTAGGATGGTGAAAAGCAGTCCAGAAAAAGAGTTAAATGCCACAAGGGGCTCTTGATGTTTGGGCTATCCATAACTATATACCAATGTTTCCTGTTAATAACTGATCAATATTGAAAATACGACTGATTAGGGTCATAGTCATCATCTATCAGTTTTGACCACATACCTCTCGAGGCAGTGAACAAGTTCTGCTACCTTGGATCCTCAGTGAATGACAACCTATCACTGGTTAAAGCGCTAAATGTGCACATTGGCAAGGCAGCTATCGCTTTCAATAAGCTATTCAAATGAGTCTGTAACAATACAAAACTCACAATCAAAACTAAGCTGCTTGTGTAAAAATGCTACATCCTCAGTGTCCTTGTGTAGAACAGTGAGACATCAATATGCATTTCAAGAAAAGAAGCTGAACAGCTTCTACCTACACTGTTTACATCAATTACATCAATCTTTGACATCAAGTGGCAAGAGAGAATCACTAACACAGAGGCCATTGCCAAAGCCAACCATCACTGCACTGCTCAAACAGTGGTGCCTATGCTGGCTGGCAGGGCATGTCCACACATGCAAGTATGTGCAGTTTTGGCAGCTCAAATAGAAGTTGTGCAAATTTGAGCTAGGGCTTTTTGCCTCAATGCACGTGCTCGGACATGCACTTTATTGTAGCACAAATTGTACCACTTGTAGCAAAATAACCCTGCTTGGCTCCTCCCAGATCTGCAGCCAGGGGGAGCTAGAGCCTGGGGCCAGCACTTGTGCTGTCCCCAGCAGTATAAAATGCTGCCCTGTCCTGGTCTCATCCATACAAAAGCTGCCCTGGCAAGCAGCTCAGGGAGCTTCTGGGGCCCAGCCAATTGGTACCTGGGGCCCTTGTGCTAGCTGGACTGCTGCAGCAGGATCCCAAATCCATTTTTAAAAATACCCCAAAATCCATGTTCTTCCACAGTTAAAACAAAAAACCACTCTATACACACACACACACACACACACATATATCTATATAGGGAGAGGAAGAGAGAGAGAGAGAGACAGCAATCAGTTGGGTAATGCTTTATTGGTATATTTACAATGTTAAAGGCAGGTGGGTGTGTGTGGAGGGATGTGGGTTGGTCTGTGGGTAGGTGTGGGGCAATTGCTGGGGGGACTGTGGGTGTGGGTGACCTTGTGGGGGGGCTGCTTAGGAGAGGTTGGTCCCCTGACCCCCACAGGGTGCAGCCTCCCCACACAGCACATGGAATGCCTACCCCAGAGGGCACCAGGCCCTCTGCCCAGGGCCCATAACTAACCTTTCACAGAAGCAGCGGGGAGACCATGCTCTGAGCCTAGCCAGATCCTGCCAGCCTGGGTCTGCTCCTGCCATCCAGCTGGGCTGGTCTCATGGTGGCAGGACCCAGCTCTATATGTGGGGACCACATGCCAGGTCCAGCCGGGTCCTGGGGATGCGCAGCTCATGCCGCGATGGGTCCTGTCACCATGGGCCAGGCCCCAGGGCTGGCATTCACCTCTGCCCACTGTGCCTGCAGGAGGGTGAGGACCTGGCCCAGCCCCATGTGGCTCTCTAGTTCAGCTTTGCACTGGAGTGGGTCACAGGTATCCGGGAGGTGGGGCTCCTGTGCGCATCTCCCGAAGCCGTGTGACCCACTCCGGTGTTACCTTGGACAGCGCCGGGGGAAACAGGGACACCAAAGAGATGCTCTGGCTGAAACCAAAGCATCTTTTTTGAACCCCCAGGTTTCCTCCCCCGCCCCCTTTTTTTTATTCCTTGCTTGATACTTTAAGGCTTTACACTTTTACTATTTCACTATTATCTTATCCAAACTTTATTATACTTTCTATTTATGAGCTTTCTTTTTTCCTTCTTGCCCTCACATTCCTTTCCATCACTGAAATCTGAAATCAGACAAAGATTGTGGAAAGAAAAGTGTACACATGATGTTCTGCTGTGAAGGATCTAGAAGTGGATGAGTAGACTAAGTGCATAGGAGGTATATAAAAAGGTAGACAGAGAGATCAGCAGGGATCCTGGTTTTCTCTGATTTAAAAAAAAAAATCCCAATTTTCGATTAAAAAAAAGTAACCCCAAATCCACATTTATCCATGATTAAAATGAAACACCTGTATATTTGTGGTGTTTCATTTAAGTGATAGAAAAATGTGGATTCTTGTTTTCAATAGGATTACTTATGAGTAAAGGTGGCAGACTCAGGCAAAGGCCTAAGGAAGGAACATGGCTTAATTTTTATCATCATCATGCTGTACCTTGTTATTAATCACAAATAGTTTCACTGAAGTAAGAACAATTTAGCTAATATAAGGAAGATCAGAATCATATTCTAGAATTGTAGGCATGTCAGTCCTACCATTTACCTATTCAGTAAATTAATGACTAAGAATTTCTTCATTGGAAACATCAAAGAAAACACACATTTTGGCAATATTCCAGAGAAATGATAACAGGTTGAAGGTAATCCTTTTCATTATAAATGATCTTGAAATCCTTGTTCATGGCAGCAATCCTTATTTAGAATAATGTCTCCATCAACAAGGGATGCTATATCACATCTCAAGAGTTTTCAGTATAAAACTACATTGAAAACTGAACACAAAACCCCATGGAAATAAAACCAGTGAGTTTTCATAATCAGTTCAATAGAAATAGGAATTATTCTATTCTTTTCCATTCTCTAATGCATGAAAAAATTCATCTCATTTTTCCCAAAACATTAAAGGAATCATCATATATTATCCAGTAGAAAATCTGGAATCACAACCTGAAGTAGAAATTCATGGCTTTCATGATGACATGTAAGTACATTTGATTAAGAAAAAAAATTGACTTTTTTGTTCTTTTTTTAATGACTAAACTAAAGTAAAAGATCATAATTTCAGTCCATTTTTTGAGGAGCTTTGTTAAGCTAGGCACAGAATTCAGCAAGGTTAGGGAGAGGTTAGATTGTGTTAAAAATGGCAACCTGAACCAACTTAGATTTCCAAGCTTCAGACCTTAGAGTAGTTATATGGATCTAAGCATGAACTGTACAGAAGTTCACAACAGTTAGATCGGTCTAAAAATGACAGATCCAATATAAGTTAACTCCACCTCTGAGATACACCTAACTTAGATTGGGTTGGCCATTAGTCTTATCTAACTATCCTGTATTTCTGTAAAGTACCCAGAGCGGCTCCAGGGTTGGGAAAACCCAACTGCTGGCCTGGGTTTTCCAGGCCAGCATTGGGCTGAGTTTAGGTCAGACTAAGGAGTTTACTCCAAGGCTGTCACTGGGCTAAGTTTAGGTCCCTGACCCCTCCCTCCTGCCCCAAAATGGACAACTCCCAATGGCCTCTGCCTCTCCTGCATAGACCAGTCAGCCTGCCTGCCCCCGCCCCCACGAGCTACCAAACCTGCCATTCTGTAAACTGATCCAAGTCGCACTTTTATTATAATTTGTCAATGCTGGGAGCCAGGCTGGGTGGGGAACAAACTCCCCAGGCCCCATTCTGTGTGCCCAGGTGGGGACAATGTCCCACTGCCCCAGTAGCAGGGAGCTTACAGTCCTCACTCACCAATTGGGGCAGCCCCCACTCTGCAATCATGTATCTGGGGCTGTGAACAGGCTGGGAGCTTGTTCCCAGCCCCCACTCCATGACTGCAGTGGTGGCTGGGAACAAGCTCCTCAGCCCCAACTCTGCAATAACAATTGTAATCACGGAGCAGGGGCTGGGAGCTCCCTGAAGAGGGATAGTTCCATGCCCAGCCTAGAGCTGGCTGTGAGCTACCTTGAACAGGGCTGTTCTCAGTGAGCCCCAGGGTGCATGGTGAAGCATGTGCTGCATAGGTGGTCAAAGGCCAGGGCTAACAGAGCTTAGCCCACCCAAATTTTTCACAGTGGCCAGCAACAGCAGCATCAACACAGCACTGCTGTACCTCAACTCCCAGCATGGCTTGGCATGCAGCCACTCTTCCACTGCTGCATACAGCATCAGCAAGCACTAGCCCCACAATGGCCCTACGGGAAGAAGGGGCGGGGGTCAGGCAGGGGTCAGTCCCTCCAAATAATATTTCCCCCCACTGCTTAAGTGTAGCCTGGAGGTGGTTGGAGATTGTTCTGTTTCAGGCAGTCCTCAGCCAGCTCTGGGCTGCACATGCAGACTTCCCCGTGGAGCCCAGGGCTGGCCAGGAACTGTTCTGGTCAGAGGCAGGTCCCAGGCCTATGCCCTAATCAGGTAATCAAGGCACAGGGCTTGGAAAGAGCTGAAGATATCTGGTAAGTTCCAGCCCCCTGCCTCAATCTGATTGCTGGTGGGGCAGCTAGCAGAGAGCAAGGCCTACAAGCTTCCTGCTGTTGTGGTAGGACATTGTCCACACCCCAGCAGCAGGAGCCCCCCTGGGGCCAGGATACAGCTGTCTCCTGGTGCAGTGCTCCCTACCAGCCTCCAGGCTAGCACCCAGGGGGAGTCTAGAGCTCCCCTGGTGGTGGCAGGGGCCCATTGCAGGGCTGCCGGAAACTGGGTGCAGATCTGCCCCCTCATCCCTGGATACATGGATGCCTGCCCCAAATGGCTTACACCAGAGTAAATGCATGTGTATATGTACCCTGCATGTCTGTATTCACCCTTAAAGATTAATGAAATGGTGAATCTTTATAAGAAAAAAAATCGCAACGTCCATAAGGGAGTAAAAGAAATGACTCTTGGTTTTCAAGAGAGTTATTTTAAGTTCCTGAATGTTAATTTTGTGTTTTTATCTCCTAGAGGAAGCCAATAAGACTAATTAAATATGACTGGAGCTAAATATGTAAAGAGATAACACAGAAGAACAAGAGTGGTTGAAACCTATTTCTGCTCAAGAGTGAAATCTCTTTTCATGTTGTCATCAAAGACGGATTAATGAAGGGAGGTTAATATTCCTTTGCCTATAATCTCATATTCCAGCTAGCAAATACATACATTACTCACTGACAGTTTGGACTTGACATTTAGTTTTCTAACTCTCATTGCATTGTCCTTGATCTGACAATGTGGATATCACAACGGTATGAATTCCATGTTCATCGAAAGAGTTAATCCCTACATCCTTTCTGAGAAATAAAAAATATAATGTAACTTGTGCTAACTTTAAAACTTTAAATTACTTATTTAAATCAGGTTTTAGATACTTTTTACTCTGGAATTTACTTTTTACATTGTTTGTTGTAAAATTAGTAATTTTAAGCAACAAGGGATTAATAGTACCAGAAATGTCTGTTAATCCACAGATAAGCTCCAAATGTGGAAAGAAATGTGGGATTCCCAGAACTGTTCAGCTAATCCACTTGTACAATGACCTAGACAGACCAGCATTTCCTCAGAAAATAATTCAATTTCTAGAAGACAGTTGTGCTAATATATACAAGATTTATGCAGTATGGCACCATTGTAAAGGACTGCTTCCAAAAAGAAATCAGCTGAGACTAGCAGGGTGCTTTTATTTATGATCTAGACCATAATTCTTCATGATACTGTTAGCATCTTATATTCAATGTATCAGAATATCTGTCACAGTATTTATTATTTTAATCACTTTTTTTTCTATTTATCAGTATTATTTACATATATGAGCAGGATATATCAGAGATCTGAGGGAATTCTTAAATAAGCCTTGTCCTATGCTAAGTGCTTAGAAAGAAACATTTTCTTTTGTCATAAATTTGCAAATGAGAAAATTTAAGTTTCGCTTTTTCTCAGTAGGATTTTTTTTTTCCTTTTTAGCTTCAATGTGCTAATACATTGTAAAGGATTTTTTTTTTATCAAGTAAAAATGCCTACATTTCCAACTGGGACTCAGCAGCATGAAAAATAAAATTATTCATATTATTGTGAAATATATTATGAAAAAAGGGCATAGGAAAGAAAGAAGAGGACAATTATCATTGATAACAATAGAACAATGATGATTTACCCTAGAAGAAAGTCTTGTCCAACCATTATGAAGGTGCAACATACAGTAAGAAAAAAACAGATCTCATCAACTAGGTTGAAACAGGGAAAGGAGAAATTTCAAGACTAAAAAGAATTCTGTAAAATGAGAATGAAATCTAAATTCAGCATTAGCCTTTTACAAATCACTTTGTATTTGCATAACGTTGATAGAAAAAAATAGTCACATCAGTTTACCTCAGTTTTGCCTAATAGCTTGCTTTTGTTTTTTGTTTTTCCTTTTTTCATAGTATGAGGAAAAAATTAGGATAGGAATGTAATAGAACTTTATTAAATTTTGCTGAATAGGAATCCAAACTTTCTTAAGAGTTCCTATTTCTGAATGTAGAAACACAACCAAATCCTTGTAATCCTACAGACCAAAGCAATCCCATTGGACACTGAAAACCTTGCATGGTGCACAGCAGAAAGGGTAGGACTGTTGTCCTGCACTCTAGCTGCAAAATAAATCCTAAGGATAAATCATAAATGCTACAGTAGTGCATGGATCAAAGACTCTGATGCTAAGGCAGCAAAATTATGCTTATAGAGAAAACAAATTATTCTTCCTTGTCACTTGTCAGGAATCACTACGTGCATAGAAACACAGTGACTGTTGCAACAGATTATGAACCTTGGGAGAACATCCTTGACAAACCTCTAGTTTCTGCACTGCCAACACTTCACATATGGTCTTACTGCTACATAGGTGCAAAATGAAAATAAAGGGAAGATAAATTGCTTAACTGCTCTCCTTTTGTACAATTTTAGAAAAGTGGAAGATGCAAAAGTGGAGGAAGACTTGGAGGAACAGAAACCTATGATATAAACTTGCTGGTGTCAACAAATCAGCTAGCAGAAATAATGAAGGAAACCGAGGTGATGTGATGAAGCTTTGAAAAGATACAATAAAGTTGGAATAGCCTGCACAAATCTAACAAGCTCCCTTGACTATCACAGACTTATGGAATAGTAAGGGGAGGGAGGATTGGGGGTGGGGAGGTTGAGAATTACCTGTGGAAAATGAACTACTACTAAAAATAGGGAGAAAATGCAATTCTAAAGAAAATGAGTTTGGAGGGGAAAACAAAGACAATTCATGAGGGACATATAGGTATAGTACTGTGCAAAAGATAAGCAAATGAGATGCTTTATTAGCCCAATATATGTGAAAAAATAAAATAAATGATAAGTGAAATGGCTGTTCTTTTCCAAAAGAGCAGAGAGAAAATTGGCAGAAACCTATGACAGTTTGTGTTGTACCTGGCCTCAACTGGCAGTTACTTTAGTGAATTCAAACACAAAAAGAAGTCACTACTCTGTTATAGATGAACTTATAGTTATTCTTTAAAATGACTGTTTAAAATTACTCAAATAAGCATATGTTAACTAGCACTAGAGTTTTTTGGATAATAAAGTGCAATACACATCTGAAAATGTTTATTTATTTATTTATTTTACACATGTGACTAGAAGACTATTTCCATAGGCAAAAGGGCTGGCTGAAAAATAAGTACAAAGAGCCAAAAAGATAGTAACTATGGCAAAATCAAGATGGTTAAGATCCCTACCTCTGCTCAATAAACAACTAAAACACATAGGCAAGGGACAAACATTACAAATAACACAGTATAAGTGATCAGAAGCCAATTTAAACCTGTAAAGGAATAGAAGTCCAGTGCACATAGATTGGTTTCAAAATGGCTGAAACTGGTTTAAGATAGACCTGGATGCATGTAGCATTAGACTTAACTGATTTAATTTATACCAGTCCTTTTAACTTCTGTTCCAGATCCCCTGACATCACAAGTTAGGTCTTAGTCACCCTGCATCCCAGGAAGCACTCCCCACCCCACAGTGGCAGGACACTGGCCTCTGGCCCAACTTGTGTGTTCTGGCCCAGGTGGGCAGCGCTGCCTGTAGCTGACATAGAGCTGAGGCAGCCTTCCCAGCCCCACCAGTGGCAGGACACAGGTGGGCAAGGGAGAGAATGAACCCCCACCCTAGCCCAAACTCCCCCCAGCTGGGGTCTGCATAGTGGGGGTGGGGAGCCCCCAGAGGTAGGGGCTGCGCCCCACTTACATGGCTCTGCCTTCCCATCCCCACCCACTCTTCGCCATCCCCTAGTCTCTCAGCCATGCAGGGTGGCAGAGGGGTCAGGAATGGACCCTTGCTCCAGCCTTGGCCTCCCAACTGTGCTCTGCACAGTGGTTGTGGGGGATGGGAGAAACACATGAGCAAGATTCTTTCTAAGCTGTGCATGTGCGCAGCCACTCACAATTAAAAATCTTCCCATGCAGTAACTTTTTAATGCCACACACCCGCCTGGAGAGGAGCTGGGCTGTGCCTTCCCAGAGAGGACCTGGGTGCGGAGAGGAACTGGGCATAGAGTGCTGCAGAGTGCAGCGGAGGCACCGGGACTGGCATGGGACACTTACCGAAGGTAAGCTTCTCACTTCTCATGTGGAGCAGGCAGCGGGTTCTCCCTGAGGTTAGACAAGGAGGGGGCAGGGCTGGGGGCTGACATGGGTTCCACCAGCTCTGGGGAACTGCTCCACACCCCCACCTCACCTCCGGGAGTGAGGAGGCACATTGCGTCAGGGCTGTAGAGTGGAGCAATTCCCCCGAGCTGGTGGAGCCCACGCCAGCCCCCAGCCCCTGTCCCTGCCCCCGCCTCACCCACCTTGGGTGCATAAGGAGTAAGGAGCTTAACTTCAGTAAGTGTCCACACTGGCCCCATTGCCTCCCTTCCAGTTCTACCAATTGATTGTGTCTGGCCCCTGGCTACCCCACAGCACTCCACTGCGCTGCTTTGGGCAGTAGTTAGCATAGAGAGGGGTGGTGGGTGAGGCCCACAGTGCTCCACATGGGGCTGAACCCTGCCTGCTGCCACCTGGACACTTACTGCAGGACACTTACTGGCAGACTGTTCCAAAAGGGGAAGGCAGGGCTAAAGTGGTGCACTTACAGACTGAAGCATTGTGCTCACAGACCAAAGCAGCATGCTCATGGACCGCTACTCCTTAGCGGGAACATTGCACATAAGGTGGAGGCTTTCACACCCAATTGCCTCTCCTAGGCTGTGAATGCCCCAGCCCTGCCCCCTAACTAGTCCACTCCCTGGCACCAGCTCCTCACGTGTCAGCCTTGGGGGCTTCCCTCCACTCTGTGTAGACCCTAGCTGGGGAACTGGAGAGGGGATCCATTTCTCCCTACTCAACCCCACCATGGTTAACAGGCAGGGGGCAGGTGAGGAGGCAGGACTGGAGTATTCGCAGCTCAGCAGGGCCACATAGGAGAGAAGAAAGCTTCCGCCTTGGAGACTTTTCTCTGCATCTGCTGCACAACACCAGGCTGGGGGGCTGGGAGTGGGGCTGGGGCTGAAGCAGGGGTCCATTTCTCCCTTCCCCCTACCCCCCATGGCTGACAGATGGTGGGCTAGAGAAGGGACAGAGCTGGGGCTTTTGCTGCCTGTCAGAACTAGGAGTTGTGTACAAGTGCCCCTGCCTTCTGGCCTTGGCCAGTGCAGGAATCTACCTACTTTGGGTAGCTGGTGAGTGAATGTGTAGTCTGCTCATTAATGGTCCAATCTATAGATGCAAGCCAGGCTTTGTTTGCTTTGCCAATTGCAGCATCGCATTGGTGGCTCATGTTCATCTTGTGGTCCATTATGACCCCCAAGTCCCCTTCAGTCATGGTGCTAGTGAGAATGTCATCAGGTTTTGATCCACCCACCTTTCAAGCCTATCCAGGTCAGCCTGAATCACCAGCCTATCCTCTAGTGTGACCACACTTCCCCATAGTTTGGTGTCATCTGCGAATTTAGCCAGTCTGCTTCTGATACCTGAATAAATGAATCAAGATAATTTATAAATATGTTAAAGAGTACTGGTCCAAGTACAGAGCCCTGGGGGATGCCACTGGTCACCATGCACCATGCTGATACAGTTCCATCGACAATCACTCTCTGGGTCTAAATTGACCTGCTATGCTTTGTTAAAGCTTCTGGAAACAGATCTTTTAGCACCTGGGGAATGTTGAAAACGAATTTGCCTGTCAACCCTAGATGGCTCAAACGTTAGGCAGTGGCTCTTCAATACTGGATTTAGATGTGTAAGTTACATTTTAGGTTCTTAAATATTTGTGTGGATCTGTTCAAAGTGCTAATAAATTAATTGAATTTAATGGGAAGTGAGGTCATTCAAAATTTCACAGAAATAACACATTTTGTAGACTAGATTCTGATTTAATTACTTTTAGTGCATGCCACCTTACACCTGGAGTTAACGGACTTTTATTAAGTTCCCACACATAATGGCTAATATATATGATATATATGCATATATCATACACATACATATATCAGAAAAACTAAATATACTTAATATTGTCATTCAAGCTAAGGCAAAAAGAATTACTAATTAAGTAAAATAAGATAATTATCAGATTATATTTTGGATTAAAAAATAGTATAAAGCCTAGGAATCATATTATGAAAAATAGCAAGCTAGAAGGAATAAGTATATAAAGCTTTTAATATTGTTTTGACACATTTCCTCAATTGAATTTTTGGCCAGAATTGTCAAAGATGTTTAGAATATTACTTGGAGAATAGCCCTTATATAATTCTAATAAGGATTTAATTATGATATCTATTCATGCTAATTTTAATATTGTACTACATTATCCCATAAACAGAAAATCTTTCTGCTTTTACCATGTCACCCAACAAACCTCCTCCTCGTCATTATTATTATTATTATTATTTTTTCTACAGGGCACCATTTCATCTAAAGGTACTGACATAAAGGTCTAAGCATTTTAGTGTACCTAAATCAGCAGTGCTGGTAATGGCAGATCATAATGTAGCCAGCAATGAGAGAAAACAAATGGCTATAAATAATGTATAAAGAATGAGCCCTCCTCTCTTATTGCTGTAGCCCAAAGTACATCTCCAGGCAATCCATCCATTTACCAATTATAAAGTGCATTTCAGTGCTTCTGCATTAACCTGAAGAGTAGAGAGCTTATCTGAGAAATTGTCAGGCTTCATCCTAGATATTAAGTCACCAAATTTTCTGTTCAGCATGAGGAATCAATTATGAATGTTTCCATGCATTAAAGAAAAATATGGGTCTCAACTGAACCCACACTTTATTAAAATGTTGTTGAAAAGCACATTAAATTACTAGGAGCACTCGCATAAAGAGGCTGCTGGTCTATAAAACACTTTTATCATTTGTACAACAAAAATGCTCAAAGTTTTCTAAATAAGGAATATTGCAAGCATAGAATTGTGATTAAATACAGTGTAAGAGACAGTTCTTATCTCAAGTCTAAGATGACAAGTAAAACTTAACATAATAGGATTTAACTGTGAGGAATAAGCTTAACAACATGCTTCTATTGTCAGTGAATTCTTGCATCCAATGAGGATTAATATATGGACTTAAGACAAATTTTAAAACTCATGGGGTCTTATTGTGTTCTCTTACAGCCATTAGTAGGAGGCCTGGGTCTAGTGGGAGTTGTTAAGGTTCATGTTTCTTTCTCTTTCTCTCCCCAAAGATTAAACTTTTCTTTTTCTGCATTGTAGGATATGGGTAGGGATGAAGGGAACAGAGGGAGGGGTACAGGGCCTATCTTTAAACCCCAAGCCCATAAATTCCCTAGGTATTGCCAGGAGCCTTTTTCTTTTGATCCCTACAAATGAATCCACCCTCAGTGAAGTAGAAGGCTGGTTAATCCTTATTCTGTATCTTCAGTTCAGGTTATCTTGATGCTTAGAGAAAGGCAGTCTGCCATGCTTTCTGGAACTATCCTGGAAGAAATGAGTTGTAATAACTCTTTCTTTCTCTCCCTCTTCTTACCTTTCCCATGTCTTTTCTTTCCTCCAGTACCATTCAGAGAGTCACACAGCAGGGAAAGGAAATTAATGAGATTTGGAGAAAAATGAGCTCCTGAACAGAGTTATAAAAGGATGTATACTTTACTCTTTTGATGTGACTATTATCCTTATTATCAGACTCTTACATTCCTTATGTTCTTAAAGCATGAGAGAGAGGTGCTTGGAGGCCAGTATGCAAACAGCTCTGCAAATTT